CTCAGATCAACCAAACTATGCAACATCCTTTCTCATCTGTATTACCTCCAATATTTAAGCCAATCACTGGCCAAATCAAATTCGGGGAAAATAAAATTTTAAAATCTATAGCTAATAGATTAGATAAGCTTGACAAGGGAAAAATATCAATATCATAGACGAAAACGATAATGAATCTATACAAATTTCTGCACAATCAGAAAATGATATTCAAGAGATCAATAGAATACAAAATAAAATGAGATCTAATAAACCTTTTATCCAAGACATACTGCACCAGATTTATTATTTGAAGAACACCATAAATATTCTCATCACGCGTATACTGGAAATGGTATATACGAATGGAATATTGATGGACGTTCTGAGTATGAAATAATGAATTTATTACAAGAAATGGGTATGGCATCCACAGCATTTAAAGCAACCAACGATAAACTAACCGATAGACAAGCGTGCGTTATGCTAATAGCAGGATTTACAAGAGCATTAAAATATTGGTGGGATAACTCCCTAGATGCATACACCCAAAGTTCTATAGTCAATCATAAAGAAATAGAAAGAACGCAAGATGAGGATGACTTTGTTATAGAAAAAGAAAAAGAAAATGTTGTAGAAGTATTAGTCCATACTATAATGATGCATTTTATNGGTAATCCCACTGAAGAATTAGAAAGTAGAAAATTAGTTTTAACCAATTTAAGATGTCCAACATTAGGAGATTTTAAATGGTATAAAGATATCTTTATAGCCAATATATTTCAACGAAATGATTGTAATCAAGTTTTCTGGAAAGAACGGTTTATCGCAGGATTACCAACTTTCTTTGCAGAAAAAGTTACCAACAAATTAAAGGAAATTTTTGGAGGACAACATGTCCCCTGGGATACTATCACATATGGTCAACTATTTGCATTTGTTAAAAAAATAGGACTATCAATATGCCAAGAACAAAAGGATAAAAAACGAAATAATAAATTCAAATTTGGAATAACCATGGGTTCATTTTGTGAACAATATGGTTATGAAAAATTTAATCCACCATCTAGGGTCAA